GAAGATCCAAGTGTAATATGATCTTCAAAAGCCCATTGTCAGCATATAAAAGAGAGAATTCAGAAAGAAGAAGATTCAATGTCATACATGCGATGTAGATCATTACCATATAAGGAAAGTGATTCTATTTATAGATCACCCCTTCCTCAATAATATGACATTTCTCCCACTAATTAGCATAATCGACTAGTATATAAACAAGAGCATTTTCCATAAAGCTTGTCAAAAGTTCCGGTGCAATCTCTAACATCGTAGAGCGACCCTTCAGTTTACTTTCGCCATAATTATTGTATTCTTTCCTGATAGCCAATAGGTGCAAGAGAAGCAAATTAACACTTAGAATCAATAATTTAATAGAAATAACTGTCGTATTTATAACTATAAATACTAAAGAAATCTTGCATTATCTCTTTTTCTAAATTTGTCAATTTAGTATATGTTGCTTCTCTTACAACTGCTATAAAATTCATTCCTGTCAAGGTGCGAGTGACGAGAAATAACAATAAAGAATATTGCAATTCTTTAAATAGTTATAAAACAATCTAAGTCGTTAAAGTTACACAAGTGCGACCAAAACAAACTATTTCAAATCAAATCAAAACCAATTTATAACGACTAAGCTATAATCATCGATTTATCCGACTTCATTGCTAAAAGTAAGTAAAAGAATTGTAAACTTGTATCATTATTGTATAATCATTACTATATAATTATTATTTAATCAATAAATGTTATAAAAGGGAATATTTGACTTGTTATTGTAACGCAAAACCCGTAGTTTTGACAAGTGACCACGATCCTACATAAAAATAAATATCAGGCTTTACCAACCTGATTAATCAGTCTTATTACATTCAAGTAAATAAAATTCATTTTATTTAAAAACCACGCCTAGTTCGGAACGTAACAGAGGGGGAAGCGACCTTTACTTCTCCTCCTTCTTTCGGTTTCCCGAACAATTTTCGCACGATTTTGTTTTAACCCCCTCTTTTCCGCAACGCTTACAATAATCATTCCGATTGGGTCTAGCGCATCCTGTTTGAAAATGACCTTTTTTCTTACAGTTAAAACAAATTACTTCATCGGGGTCAAAATTACTGTCGGTTTTCTTATTTGATTCAGATCAAGTGGGGGTTTTCTCTTTGTCCAATTTCTTATCTGTCGGAGGGTACTTTTTCTTGTTCCATTGTTTTGGGCCAAAGATCGGTATTATTTTCGGAACTCGCTTCCGTTTCGATATCTGTATTCTGTTTCGAAACTTTTGACGGTTCTGGTTCTATCGCCGCGATTGTGTTCTGTTTTGATTTTACCTTACCTTGCCCTCGAAATGCGTATTCCGGAATTAGCGATTTCTCCGGCGGTGGTGGGGGTAAATCGTCGTCTGTTATCGCGGTTACTCTTTCGTATTCGTCGGATAAATCCGCGAGTCCGTTATAATCGTAAAACTCGAATCTTCTAATTGCCCTTCTGTAGTCTGGGCGAAGGTTGGCGTGAACTCTATCCATCTGTGCTGTCATGTCTATGTGCCTGGTTGACAGCTGGTAAAATCCATACATGCAGGTTAGGTAAGCGGCTGCAGATTCTCCGGGACCTTGTATTCTAGAGAGAATCTTTTCGTCTAGCCGGTCCTGAAACCTGGAGTCGCCAAACCTTCTTTGGAAGTGAGTTTACAATCTTCCCAGTTTGACCAACGTTGGCGGTTTTGTCGGTACCAGTGAGCCTCAACTCGCCACAAGAAATTGTCTATACTGGAATTTTTCTGTCAATCGAATTTTATTTTCCAGCTTTCGACAATTCTTGTCACGTCTCTAGGTGGTCGATTCTGATTTCGCGTACCCGTCTATTGTTTGTTTCTCTTGTGAGGCTGAGGTCGGGTTCACGTAAGGAAACAAACTGGTCGGGGGGTACAATGGGTCATTATTTTGGCCATATTGCGCTTGAGAGTACCGGTCTATTTTCTGTTGGTACCCTTGTTGAGGGAGAAACCGCCCCTCATTTCCACTCCGAGTCAAACCTGAAAACGATACGTTCGTGTTACCGTGAGTGACCGATTGAACCGTAGGTGGCGCTGACACGTTTGTTGAATACCGCGGTTGTGTGTTTTCTATAGTCGGGTACACATGTCCGTGATTGTCAAAGTGTCTATTTTGGTACGTTTGTGTCGACTGTCTTGTGACTGTTGTCGTTGTGTGACATGTCGGGCACAGGGACTTGCCCGAATCATTCGTGTGGTTTACGTTTCTGTTCTGTACACAACACATTTACACATTGACTAATGTGTTGTGTCCGGACACGAAACATTTCCCCATTGACTAATGTGTTGTGTTCTGATACGACACATTTCTACATTGATTATCGTTTCGTGTTAAGACACGACACATTTTCTCATCGAATAATGTTTCGTGTCCGGACCCGACACTTTTGAAATAAAGAAATGTTTTCGTGTTCGGACCTGACACATTTAAAATAATAAAATATTTTGTGTCCAGACACAACACATTTTCTCATTGAATAACGTTTCGTGTTTGGATACGAGACATAATTCTTTTTTAATCTTTCATGTCTAGTCACTGAAATATTTAATTAATTAATTTAATTTAATATGAATAATTTATTATTAATTTAATTAAATTTTTAATCTTTGTGATGGGGGAGGGGAGAGGATAGGAGAGTTGCTAGTTTTTGGGATTCGGACACGAAAACTCTTGATTATTTTAAAAGTGTCGGGTGTGGACACGAAAACATTTAATTATTTTATAAGTGTCGTGTCCAGACACTAAAACATTTAATTATTTTATGAGTGTCGTGTCCAGACACTAAAACATTTAATTTTCTCAAAAGTGTCTGGTTAGAACACGAAAACATTTAATTATTTTAAAAGTGTCGTGTTCGGACACAAAAACATTTAAAAAAATTTAAAGTGGCGTGTCCGGACACGAAAACATTTAATTTTTTAAAAGTGACTGGTCGGGACACGAAAACATTTCATTAATTTAAAAGTGTCCGGTCAGGACACGAAAACATTATAAATTATTAAATGTGTTTGTGATTGAACACGACACTACACACAATTGATTTGGCGTTTTGTTTCGTTTCCGTGTCAGTCCCTGGTCGGGCATGTAGTCGATACTATCTGTGGACTCTGGTTTTGTACCATTGTTGTCAGGGCCTTAATTTGATTCTGTATTGCAAAAATTGCTTATCGTAACTCTTGAGTTTCGGTTTACATTTGGGAAGTGGTAGTTTAGGGGTGGAAGAGTGTTGTGAAAATTTTCTGGTCTGAAGTGTTGTTCAATGCCCTGGTAATTGTTTTCTGTAAAATTGTTCCCCCCACCACTTGCTATTGGGCTTTCAGGAAGAGGAAAATTTCTTGTGGAACCGGGAGTATTAGGGGTTGATGTCTGTATTACCCCTGCTGGTATAACGAACGCTTCGTCACTTTCGTACCATGGTACATCCGTATGTCCTGACATTCGCGCGATTAATCTTTCTATGCGTTATTGTAATTCTTCGTAAGAACCTGAGGTGTTACAACCGTGTAACCGCAATTGTTCTTGCATTTCCTCAAAAGCGCGAACTTTTGTTCTTAATTCGTCTATTAGACTGGTTCCCGTTTTAATTTGGGTTTCGGATGTGTTCGCGGTTTCTTCCGATTCTATTTCCTCCCCAGATTTCTTTAATTCTGATTCAGGATTTCCCTGATTGGGTGTGTGGGTGGATCTACTATCGTCCGACATTTTTATTGACCAAAACAACTCAAAGAAAATTTAACACAATTACAATTTTCAAGAAATTTCACTAAAATTCCTAAATTCTTGAAAATTTCCAAAATTTCCTTAAATTCCAATGTTCTAATTAAGGAAATTGTTATTAATTTTTCAAAACACAAAACAATTGTTTTTAATTTTTGGTTAAATCACTTTATACACTACCAAATTTGAAAAATTATAAAATTCTCTAAAATTTCCAAAGTTTCCAAAAATTTCCGTAATTTTGGAATTTCCTTTTTCTGTTTGGAAATATTTATTTATTATTAAAGTCTGTTATTGGGATAATTTATGCGATTATTTTTTTCTAAATTTCATAAATAACCGATAAATTACCCAATATTTCTGGTAAATTTCCGGTTCACTATTTTGTTGACACTCGGTTCGGAAATTACCGCAAACTTGTTGCTGAATATTTTTAAAATTACCAAATTTTCCAGAAATTTCATAAATTTCCACACTATATTGGTAACTTTTCCAAAGTTTTCTATTAGTTACCAAAAAAACATTTTGAAAATTTATGGAGCTCGATTATTGGCAATAGTTAATAACTTGTCAAAATTTTATTTACTTGCACTCTTCAAATTTATTTACACTATTATTACTGTCTGATTTTATTTTCTCTAATTCTCTATTTTCACCTCTATCCCGGTGTGTCAATATTCCGAAAATTTTTCTAAAAAAAATCACTTTTTCTTATTTTTATAGAAAAAAAATTCTTTATTATTATCGCGATACTAATATTTTACTCTATTCGCGAGGGATAGTAGGGGGACACTGCTGGTATATTTTCCACATGCTGAAAATAAATGCATTTTTAAGCTACTACAAACATAATGAAAAAAAAATTTCATTACTATATATAAGCAATAAAGCAAGAGAAAAAAAAATTTTCTTTTTCTGTCAGACCAGATAAATGTCAATCAAATAAATTTTAAATTTTTCTTTTAAGTAAAAAAATATTTGACTTTACTCACCAGTAGTGTAGATTCTCGATTTTTGAAAATCATTTTCTATTACCGCAACAGAAACTATTATACAAGTACATAGTTAATTTGAATATAATATAATTATTATAAATATATATATATTAATATAATATAATATAATTAATTAATTAATATTAATTAATATTAATATTTGTTTAATTGATGACTGAAGACTAACATATTTCTTTATAAATTTGTTATTTTCTATTATTTAAATAACTAATTGATAAATAAACTATTACAGACTAGGCGGTGAGATCAGCCGGCGAGAACAGGTTGACGTCCATTTTCCTTGCCATGCGGTCGGCCAATATTTTCCTGTTTTCTCTCGGTTTTTCCATGCAAATTCACTATAAAGATGCCAAATGAGAGGACAATTCCTGGAACCCAACAATATCACTCATTTATTCCTATTTCTAATAATGAAATGATTTTGAGGAAATTTTCATCTTCAAATGAACAAAAAATTTTCCCAACACGAAAACGTCATTTGGAAAAGTGTTTAGTACAAAAACCTCTTACTCAAAAATATTGTAAAAGAAGAAAAACTTAATTGTTACTAGTTGTTTAACTTTTTTAAAAAATTATAATTTGTTTGTTTGATTTATATTAAAAATATTTAATTAACTATAATCACAAATAAAAAATTTTATGATTAAAGCAAGAAAATGTGTTTTTCAATAGTGTATCTAATTACAAACAATATTAATTTAAATCACTGCTAAAATTTATCTAAATAATTAAATATTTGCAATAATTCAATTATTTATAATACATTATTATTACAATTAGAATGAAAAATTTAATTTTTTTAATTTAAAAAATTGTTACTTTCATTTTGCAATAAAATTCAAAGTGGTAATTAATTTGATATTATTAAGATTATGAATATATAATTATATGAAATAAAAGATACATAACAATTTAAATAATAAAGATATATTATTAAATTATATTTTTGCTTCACAACTTTGAGAAATTGATCTTTTTAATAGAATTAAAAAAACAAATGATTTTGACTCTGACGTGAAATTCAAGAGGGTTACGTTTCGTACGCCAAATTTAGTAAAAAGTGAATTTACATTTTATTTTTTTTCCTGGATCCACTGAAAAGCCCATTAAAATCTTTAGATGGTAGAAACTAGAGAATTTAATCTTTCTTTTGAGACAACTTTCAACAAAATTGAAAATGACATATTTTGAGAAATTAACTCTCAAAGTTTTTAAATGCAAATTAAACCAAGAAATAATTTTTTTTTAAATAAAGCCTTATACCACCTTAAAGCTTGAAAAATTCTCTATTAAAAGCATTATTTACATTTTAAATTTAAAGACTTTTAAATAAAATAAATTATGTATGAAAAGTGCTCTACCCTCGATAGTCATTTGTAGGTGGTACGATTTGAAATAGAATGCCTCACATAATATTTACTTAGTTTATTTATGTATATTATTTATATTTATACAGATACTGGTGGAAAATTTGAATCGAATTCTGATGAAACTACAAAATATGTTTTTTATGAAAATTGTGAATCTGAAGGTTCGTATATAATATTAGTAATCATTTTCAAATATATTTTTAAATTTAAACAATCAAAGGTAAATCTTTGAAAAAATTATCAAAATTAAAATTATTGAAAATTATGCTTAATAAATTAAATATTTTTAGAATTACAATATTTTTGATTTAACTATAATTCTCTATTAAAAATTTAGATTCACCCGATGACGACAGCGATGATGACTTTGAGGATGGAATAATAAATTCAAGTGCTGATCAAGAGGACGAAGTGAAACAAATCCAAGATTGGACAGTGAAAAGGCAAATCAGCCATAATTCTTTAGAAGAATTGATGGATATCTTGCGCCAAAAATTTACTCCAAATTTACCAAAATCAGCAATTACGTTTTTGTGTACTAATCAAGCTGAATATAAAATAAACAGTATGCTGGATACCGACGGTTCTGAAGGGGAATATACATATTTTAGTATTTCCAAAGGCCTTGAAGAATGTATAGACCCCAATATTCATCAGAAATCCACGATTTTTTTACAATATAATATTGACGGCATCGATCTAAGTAAATCTGGAGAAAAAGGTTTTTGGGTCATCTCTGCCAAAGTCTTTTTCAGTCCAGACATTTACAAGCCATTTCTGGTCGCTATATATTGTGGAAATTCTAAACCTGCAAGTATCGACGATTACTTATCCGAATTTATTGACGAAATTAACCATCTAAATATTCATGGAATAAAAATTATAAATATTAAGTTTAACGTGCGTGTTCATTGTTTCATTTGTGATACCCCTGCACGAGCATTTTCAAAATGCATTAAAGGACACACTGGCTTCTATTCTTGCGAGAGATGCACAATTAAAGGAGAAAGAAAGGACCATGTTACTGAATTTCACGAAATAAATTGTAAAGAAAGAACAGATGAATCATTTAGGAAGCAGGAACAATGTCGTCATCACAAGGGAAAATCTCCTCTTCTGCGAATCAAACCTTTTGTACATATGATTTTCATGTGCGTTTTAGATTTTATGCATCTATTTCACCGTCCGACAAAATTCAACTTTTTTTTCACACACGAAAAAATCAATGATTTTTAGAACTAGGACCAAAAAAAAGATACCCGTGTCTGGCCGTTTTGCTAGATCAGGTCATTTTTTGATTTTAGGGGTAAAAACAACCCTTAAATGAAAGGTAATAGGAAATCTTGTACAAATTAATAATTTTTTATGAAACCTGGTATCTCGGGGTTTTCCGGGTCGCTGATTACGAATATGATGTCAGATTTTCAAAATTCAAAATGGCGGATCCAATATGGTGGTCGAAATTTATAAATGTTATTAATTTTTTATAAAAAATTTCCACATATGTGTTTTTTGTATATTGGACACTTTTTTAATGACAAAACAGGCTTTGTAGTAAGTAAGAATATTTTTATTAGATAACAGTAATAAGCTCAAGTAAGATCAATTTAAAGATGTGAAGTGATTGTTTAAAACTGCTGTGCAAAGTAAAAAAGTCTACAATTGTCATTTGTTTTATGTACTATTTTCCGTAACTATGCAACTGAAAACGAACATATAAACAACTGTCATTTGTTTTAACTTTGTCCAATATACAAAAAACACATATGTGGAAATTTTTATTTTTTAAATATTGTTTTCTAATCTTCCACATTATTAGATCTATTTTGAATTTCAAAAATTTACCTTCAGATGCGTACTCAGCGACCTTAAAATCCCCTAGATACCAAGTTTTATAAAAAAGAATTAATATTTATACATTTCGACCGCCATATTGGATCCATCATTTTCAATTTTCAAAATCTGACATCATATTCGTTATCAGCGACCCCAAAAACCTTCAATTAACAAGTTTTAAGTGAATTCGATAAACTTCTATAAATTTCGACCGCCATATTGAATCCGCCATTTTGAATTTTGAAAATCTGACATCATATTCGTAATCAGCGACCCCAAAAATCCCTAAGTAACAACTTTCAAATGAATTGGTGAATTTTTATAAATTTCGACCGCCATATTGGATCCGCCATTTTGAATTTTGAAAATCTGACATCAGATTCGTAATCAGCGTCCCGGAAAACCCCGAGATACCAGGTTTCATAAAAAATTATTAATTTGTACAAAATTTCCTATTACCTTTCATTTAAGGGTTGTTTTTACCCCTAAAAGCAACAAATGACCTGATCTAGCAAAACGGCCAGACACGGGTATCTTTTTTTTGGTCCTAGTTTCTGAAAATCATTGATTTTTTCGTGTGTGAAAAATCGTGCTGGACGGTGTTTTGTGAGGGGATAATGAAGCGACTTTTACTGCGCTGGTTTTTTATTTCGGGAAATCAAAAAGTGAATAAAAAATCAATGAGAGAGGTATCCAGAAGATTAATGCAAATTAAAAAACACATTCCCATGGAATTTCAACAGAAACCAAGAAGAATAAAATCGCTTAGAAAATGGAAAGCAACCGAGTTTCGTTTTTTTCTTTTATATTGTGGGCCAATCGTTATGAAAAATATTATGAAAATAAATTATTTTAAACACTTTTTATTATTGCATATAGCATGCCGAATTTTATGCAATGATAGGTTGATAAAAATGTACCACGACCATGCAAAAATTTATTTGAGAAATTTCTTCTTGGGAGCTGAAATATTGTATAAAAAATGCACGTTATGAATATGCATTGTGCAATTCATGCTGCAGATGATGTCATTGCAAAGGGATGTAGTTGGAGTCAAATTAATGCTTTTCCGTTTGAGAACTTTTTAGGAAAACTTAAAGGTCTGATTAGAACGCCTTTCCGACCGCTATCTCAAGTGTGTCGAAGATTGCATGAAATTTTTGACGGACCCACCAAAACCTCAAAAACCTTATCGCTACGAAATTTTGAAAATTAAGGGTAATAGAATTCTGAAGATACGATTTAAGCATTGCATTTTAACAGTAAAAAATCCTGACAATTTCGTTAAGTTGAACAATAAAAAATTGATAAAAATACATAAAATAACTCGCACTGAAAAAGGAATTGAAATAGAAGGACAATCTTGGAAAATTAAACAACCTATATTCGATTACCCTTCGAATTCCAGCGATTTATGTATGTGGGAATTGCACCAACAACCTGAAGAACGTATAATTAATTGTAATATTAATCGAATTAAAGCAAAAATGGTTTTTTTATCCTTAAATTTTGAAATCGACAAACCGGAAAGAGTGTTTACAATGCCTCTTTTGCATCATTGAAATATGTACAAATTAAGTACAATGTTATATTGTTGTAATATAAATGGAAAATTATTTTTAAAAAACTTAGAAAATAAAGATAAAAAAATTAAAATTTTTCAAATTTAATACAAACAAGTTTTATTAATAAGAATTTTCAAAACCAATTTTTTATATTAATTATATTTATGATTTCATAATTTAAAATAAGTTTTAAAAATCTTTAACTTATATTCTTGCTTCTAGATGCAGTTTAATCTAAATTTTGCATAATTAGTTGATAATAAATTCGTTTAAAATTAAGTTGTACTAATATTTATTCTTCCTTATAATTTTATAATTAACAAATTAAATGCTGTAGTATTATCAAGTATACGTGAACAAAAGAAGTGCCATTTATAATAATAATAATAATAATAGTAGTACCGTAAAATGGGCTAAAGTCGGCGTTTGCGGGTAAAGTCGGCCGGCGCTTTAAACACTTAAATATTGTATTTCATTTATTAATTTACATTAATTCTAACTACATTTTTAATAAAACTCGGATTTCTTCTGGAAAAAAGTAATAGTTAAACTTTAAAATGATTTAAAGCGCCGGCCGACTTTACCCCCAAACGCCGACTTTACCCCATTTTACGGTAATAATAGTAATATTAATAATAGTAGTAACTCAGCGGGGACGGGGACATAGGATGTCTTTAGGACGTCCCTAGGACATCCCTAGGATGTCCATGTCCGTTCAAAAGACGTCCTGAAG